AGTTGTTTGTTCGTGTCGCTTTGTGGTGATTAGGCCCCTCTACTTCTGCTCAAGTTGTTCGTGGTCAGGGCCGGTTGCGCCCGGGCTATTATTGCAATTGCGGGTCGTAAAACATGATTCAGTTTGACATTTATACTCGACGATATGGCTGCTCCTTTGTTTTGGCTGCTGTGTGTGTGTGTGCCCAGTCGGAATGGAGAAAGATGCGTCGCGCCAATCTGGCCAACAAACATTTCGAACAAGTAGTGAGACCAATACACGCGATGTCGCACACATCACTGGTGAAAAGTGAAAAGGGCGCAGGTGACTTCCCATTGGACTTACGCCCTTTTCACTGTTTATGACTTCCCATTGGACTTACGCCCTTTTCACTTTTTACCAGTTCCATATAGACAATAATTCAAAGAACGCGACCCGATACGTATCGCGCCCAAACTTTGTAATGGAGGCGGAGGCGGCATTGTCCGAGGGGGTTCCTTGAACTTGGCCGTCTCGCCGAAAGTGAGATGTCGTCGGCCACCACCGCCGCGTCAGCAATATCCTCCGCGCCGCCTTCCTTTTGGCTCATTATCGACAGCCATTATGCATTCTCGTGGCGCGCGGTTGGCACCGCCGCACACGCATGCATATATGCAGTTGGCAACACTGCGTGACCAAAAGGACCAAGGGGGTGCTCGATTCATCTCGCCGTTCTGATAGGGCAAGTGCAGCGCGCGCGGTCCCGGGGGGGACTCCGCCGCGCCCGCCCGCGCCTCCAGGGAGGAGGACGAGAGGAGGCCGCGGCCCGCGGACTCGTGGCCTAGGTCACTTTTCCTCCGCCTCTTCTTCTTTCGATTCTTCTTCCACCCCGCCGCCCGTCCCCAGGGGGTCGTGCAGAGCTACTCGGGTGCACCTCCTAACGACGCCGAGTTCCTTACGCGCGCGCCATGATCCACAAGCAGCACGTGGCCAATTTAGGACCCCTCCGTCGTCTCGTCCGCGCCTCAAATCACGTCGTTATAATCTGCGTCCTGCACGCTGCAGTGCCGCAGATAAAGTTGATACGGCATGACTGCACGGCGTGAGAAAAGCCTACACCCCAACCAAACATTTCACAAACAAACCCTGAACCCACCATATCCATGAATCGAGTAAGTAACTTCACCTGCCCGAACCGTAATGGTTGGTTACAATGGTCTTGGCCCCATAGGCACATTGAAGCGTCCCTATAACAATTGTTTCAAGAGATGGAATTTATTTCAGAAGTCTTTCCAAGGCTCATAAGGTTTAGTATCCCGTTTTGCTCCAGATTTGCAAATTTATTTTCTCCGGCTGTGACAAAGTCAAGCACCCTTGAGGACAACCTAGGTACAACCCCTACAGCTGACGGAACCAAGCTAGGTCTACCACGAACTTTTACATCATCCCCGCATTTACGACCTTCGGACCTCTTGGCACCAGACGCACTGTCACGAGTCTCGCCTGCAGCCTGATGCTGCTGCCGCCTCAGGCCTTGCGATGCAGAGGTTGTCGGAGACAGGGCGGGGAGCAGCTAAAGGAGCATCTACACTTGGGCAGGAGAGAGAGGGGGGGGGGGGATATTCCGCGCAATTTATTAGCGATACGACGCGTCATAACCTCATCCTGCAGTTTATCTCCGCTCATTAGGGGTGGAGGTTAGGACGGTCCGACTGTAACGGCGCTCGCACGTGCGGGGGCGGCACGGGGGCGGCGCGGGGGCGGCGCGAAGGGCGGCCACAGGAAGCCAACCCCGGCCCACTTGTATTGTCTCTGCATGGGGCGCTCCATTGTTTCCAAAACGGAACGGCTGAGAGTGAGAGAGTTGGTGAGAGGAAAGGCGATGGAGATAGAAGAGGGAGGGAGAGAGAACGAGTGAGAGCAAGAAAAGAGAAAGAGAGAAGGGGGGGGGGGAGAGAAAGCATAAGAGAGAGTAAGAGAGATGGAGAGAATAAGAGCGAGCGCGGGGTCGACGCTTGGTCCTGCAAAGTTGCCGAAGGTTATGTTCGTCCCACTAACCCGCTGCACGCCGCCAGGGGCGGGTCGGGGGGGAGGGAGAGAGAGGGTGAGAGGGTGCGTCCGTGGGGAGGGTAAGGGAAGGCCGGCCGGGCGGAGCACTGCCGAGCAGGGGAGGGTGGGCCGACTCATTTGTCATACTCGCGACTTCTTTAGGCCAGCAGGCAGCGCACAGCCTGCAGCGGGTCCAACACCAACGCGCCACCAGAAAACTCGACAAAATCTGAGAACAGAATAATTTTTACAACGTACCAGAAAAAGAACCCGATGAGATTCTCTGTGAAAAATATCCTCTTAAATTTACAAGATTTGTTGAAAAGTTTTGTTAACAATATACATGTATTTTCTTTAAATGTTTTTGTACTATTCCTGTGTCGCGCCATACCTGAAAGCCGCTGCAACGAGTGTTGCCCGATAAAAATAGCAAAATAAAGCAGTAAAATACACGGTAAAAACAGTTCCTTGGTGTTCAAGGACCAAGACGCCGATTCGAGGATTCATGTGTTTTTCCTTAAACCCCCGTCCTTGAATCGGTAATCGCGGAGTCTTGGTCCTTGAATATCAAGGAGCAGATTCTACCATTTACAAACTGTCAGTGAAATGGGTATGATGCACATTTACGACCTTCAAGTTGAATAATTGCAACGCAACTTGAACTTGAACTGAAATCTACCCCTAAGGCGTCATATGGCAACACTAAACACTGCTGAGTTGTAGCCCTAACTCATGGGTATAGACGAGGCGCCTACTGATGCAGCCCACTAAACACCTGTGTACTCGTGGTAAATTTGACTACTTTATCTGGCGACTGTCATGCAGCTCCTCTGCACCACCAGCCTCCCCGATCGCATAGTTCAACAAACAACCCCTTCCCCTGCACCGCGCCCCGCCACATCCCTGCGCAGCCATACGCCACTCTCCCCCCAACAGCGGTGGCAGTTTGCGCCCCTCCGCGACGCGCACTCTCGAGTCCCGACTTCCTTCCGGGGCAGAGGAAGGGGGAGGGGCGGGAGAGATGGGGAGGTGCAGGGGGAAGCGCGGCTGCTTGGCGGGGGGTAAAGGGGGAGAAAATTTCGTCACAGTTTGAAGCGGCACGCGACGCCGCGGGCGCCTCGCGACACGCAGCCTCCCCCCGCCCGCCCTTCTCTCTAATTCTAACCCTTACCCGCGCCGCCACGCCCGCAGTCTGTCTGCAGAGAGAGAGGGGGAACACACAGTCTCTGGCAAGGCGCGGTCGGATTAAACAGAAACAAATAAATGCCAAAGAAGCTATTTCTATTTTCCGTTTTGCGAGAATACTGTATTGCACAAATGAAACCCCCTTTCCTTGCACGTGCGGTCATCAATTCTGTCATTAAAATTTTTCTACAAT